CCCCCCCCCCTCCCCCCACAAGACTCCGAAAAAAGCAAGTGTCCCCCATAGGACAAGATGAAGTTTAGATGACCCCCTCCCCCAATTTTTCCCACCCCACCCTAGAGTATAAATAATGAACGGTCCGTAATGATGAGGCAATAATGAATAAATTAATGTTTGGTAATTTGTTTATAAATAACATATTTAATATAATTATGTAATATAAACATGTTAAACATTTAATTATATAATGCATGAGTCAATTCCTGGAGTAACCATCCCCCCCAGGACACCCCAGGGAATTTGCCTGATAGACAGTTCACAGGGGGTGGGAAATTTTCCTTTCATATATGTGCATGGCGGCCGGGTATTGAAGGACAACGGGGATTTGACAAATGGTTGCCCAGAATCCCACCCGCAAATTTTAAGGCAGCAAAACCTAGTTTCAGGCACGCATGTGAGCGCGCTGATCATATTTTGCGCCCTCATGGTCAAGGTGGCATGAAATTTATTGTCAGAATAAGCGAAAATTATAACCTGTACATGCCATGCAAATTTAAATACATTATTACTATTAAAGGTTTATGATTTCATTGTTTAAATACTTTTAACCACTCTTAGCAAGATTCAAGATTTCAAGTTTATATTAAAGTTTTATAATATTCCATATCCAGTTTAATACTATAATGTTATTAAATGACTATGCTATTATATGCCATTAAAAGTTTAATTAACGTTTAAAATCGTCCCCGGGGTGGGGCATTTTCCACTCTCAGCTTGCCCAGGGGCCGTGCATTAGTCTTCAAGTTGTGTCCCGGCACCCGGGCATTTACACTATCATAACCAATCAAATCAAATGCCCGGGTGTGTTCCCGGGGGGGGGGGGGATGGTTACTCCTGGAATTGACTCATGCATATTAAAGGTTATAAGCAAAAAATATCTACTTTAATTAAAAACAAATAGTGCAATAGTCAATACAGCCTACTGCTGAATGCTCTACTGTACGTTAACAATGACAAAACAAATAAACAGCTACCTTGAATTTCCTGTCATCTCCTTCAGCAGTCAGCAAGAACCCAGTGGGACCAGTAGCTCGTAATAAATAAATCCTAGCTCTTGCCGCTCGATCAATACGAGATAAAACCTTATCAGGGCATGTCCTTCTCCAAGGAACTGAACGAGACATATCTTTGTTATTTACATTTTGATAAAATTCATTGAATCTTTATGAAAATATATGAAAAATTGAAAACAGCCAAATTTACACTGCCAAGTGCCAAAGATAATTTTCAAAATGGCGCATTTTCTCGTTGACATGGCAACCATTTTGTAACCTGCGATCAGGTGATCAGGCTGACATTTCAATGGGTCACAAAATGTATATAGATTCCGATCTCTGGATTCCGATGTTACGTCATTGTATTTTCATATGGTATATTTATCCTAAGCATTGTAGTATTCATTATATTATTCATTATATTATAATATCTCATGCATTATATTGTTCCACATTTTGAGCAAAATTTGTAGTCTTTGGCACCAGAACAGCCACACACTGACACTGAAGCAAAACGTAAACGCCCTTTTGTCTCAACCGCTCTCCGAAGTCCGAACAAACACTAGGTTCACAGCGCTACAAGAATAGCGGGAATGAGCGGGATGGATCTTCAACCACGAGTTTAAAAAATTAACTTTATTTCACCCCGATTTCACCCGTGACTTTTTATTTTGTCATGAGTTAATTTCGTTTTGCCGTGAGCAGGGCCGTCCTCAGGAAATTCTTCAGGTGTAATAAGGTCAATTCAACCGACTGGTTCAAAAAAAATTTTCCGGAACAATAATTTTTGTCGACCCCCCCCCCCGTCGCCGAAAAAATTTCGGTCAGTGTACCATTTTAGGGGTCCAAAAATTTTTCCGGACGTACTAAAATTTTCCATAACATTAAAAAATTTTCCGCACATAACAAATTTTCAACATTTTTTTACATTTTTCCAAAATTTTTACATTATTCCTCAACATTTTCCTAAAATTCCCACCACGTTCTTGCCCTTTGCGCCAAAAATATTTAACCCAAATAGCAGTTCTACCGACTGAATAGCAGTCCTACCGACTGAATAGCAGTCCTGCCGACTGAATTCAATTACTGGGGGGGTGTCACACCCCCCCCACACCCCCCGTAGCTCCGGGCCTGGCCGTGAGTTAACTTTATTTTCCTGCGAGTTTCAATTTTGTTCTGCCGTTACAGTTAATTTTATTTTGCCGTGGCTCAGTTACTTTCGCTGTGACACTAGACTTGATGGTTACCCAAACTCTTTCAAACTTGGTAGGGTTAACGGATCACTTCAATTAGCCAATCAGATTGAGAGCTTTTTTGGATCTTGACCTGATTGGTTAAAATGAAGGCGGACCAGAAAGTAGACGGGTACCTACAAAATGGCGAAATAGCTGGTATGTCTGGTATCCTGGCGTGAAACTTAAACTTTAGAACTATAGTTTAATTTAGGTTTCTAAATGCTAAATCTAATCTTGTTTTTAAATTTGATATACATAAAAAAGTAGTAAAGTACATTTTTAGATTTTTATATGTTAGATAAAAAGCACAAAAGACACTGCTAATTATTCAGTCGCAATTGAATTGATCGGTAAATTAGAAGATCTGTTTTATATCGAATGGTAAATTAGAGATAAAATTTTTAAAAAGAAAAGTGCCTCATCAGTCCATACTTCCCGACTCTGCTAGCCCATATCGGTCAAATCCGTCTCGTGCTAGCCGCTAGAACGCCTAAAACTAGATTTCGACTATTAAACTCAACGCTATCGTCAGAGGCAGGTGAATAGGTGGATTACCAACTGGTATCGAACGAACTACGGGGGAGAGTGCCGGCGGCCCCCAGACCATTATGCCTGACACCCTTTTCGCAAAATCCTATGATCGGTAACTACCACAGACAAGTAATAGTAACAGTTCCGTATATAAGTACGTTACAGTTGCCTGGTGTGGTGCATGTGGGACGCTTCAGCTCGGCGTTTACCAAAGCTTTGAAACAAACGCATGCGCGGTAACTTGACACTCGGGTACTGACGTAGCGCATGCGTGGGCATCATTCAATCAGGACGCAGGAAAATTTTGCACTGGTCCCGCGAGGTCGAGACACGTGCGAGACGGCTCAAAAATTTCAAAAATTATTTGTTTTCAAAACAAATTCAGTGAAAATATACATTATTCACATGTATTTGCTTATCGAAGGCTACCCAAATCAATGAATCGACTGGAAAAAATGAAGGCGAAGTGAAATCTACACCGTCAATTATCCAAGAGGTCGCGCCGCCGTTGGTTTCTACTTTCTAGTACTGACACGAAAGGTACAAAGCTTACAAAGCTTTATATTTTGTGCAGTCTGTTTTGTTTCAAATTGCACTTTGCCTACCTCCTGAACAGGCATCTTAGGGGCTGTTTACATGATGGAAGGGATGATTTTGATGTATTGAAATAAGTCAATAAACTAAATGAAAGTTCAAATGCTCGTTAACAGAACTCAAATGTTGTAGTAAGAGAATATCTTGTAGTTCAAGAAGATTATTATTGCTGCTTGAGCAATCTTTATTTACAGGTAACTATCGCTATCTCTTGCTGAAGTGTGCACCATGACTTATTTATTTTAACTTCCTCGCGAAGTTCACGCCCAATTTCCGAACTTGACAACGTAATTGGCAAGTTCGCAACGAACTTGGGAACAGCGTGTTGAAAAGTTACCTGAAATCAACAGTAAATATATCTTAATCATCCCGCCTCGTATTTCGTCCTGGCAAAGCAGGAACATATAAACAGCCCGTTATTCAGCAAATTGCACATGCTACCTTCGATCCCTTGGGGGCGAGGCAGCACTGTCCTTGCGATAGTAACTCCTAGTTTTCAATATTCAGCGTTTTTTTTTTACACGAGACAACCTCGTACCCAGGGCTTCTGCATGGGTACGATGTTAACTGGCTTGCTTTCATTTCGCCTGTGACGTCTATTACCAAACGGCTATTGACCAAAATTGCCCAAACCTGCAAAAGCCAGCTGACCCCAAAGCCAGCCGAGTAATGGGCTAGGCTAGTCCAGACTACATGTACTTTTGCCTATTTACATGCTCAAAATTACAAGATATCTCTGACTCTGCAGTACTTGCATGTTGCTCCGTTAAGCACAGGCTGGCCAGAATCACGTTGCGGCTATTTATAGAACAGGTAGTCGTTAAATATAAATTTATTTTGGAATTAGACTGTCAAATCATTGCTAGAATATTGTCTTAAATTGATAAATAAAATTCATTTATCTCTGCTACAATTACAGTAGGTGTACTTATCTTTATGTGTTAGCTTGGTTGTGATTTGAGCACGTTTAATTCCAGTAATATTTCCAGTGTCTCACAATGTATATCAATACAAATATCCATACATAATCGCCATACAGTTATTTCAAAGTGGTCAGTTTTTCACTTGCACTCTGCACTGTCATGACCGCTTTGGTGGAATTGCATTGCCATTGGAGGTTATGTATTATGGATATTTGTATTGATATATTAAATAGGACATAGTCGAGCACTCTGTGCTTATACCAGTGGTTTTACCACTATGTATGAACATTGAAATGAATATAACTGGAACGCTACCTTCAACCGGAAATTTGAAACCAAACTTGAAGGTCAGTCCCATATCCTCACACGTAGTATTAGTGATTATCCTATCTCGCAGGGGTGGGAATATTTAAAAAAAGGTAGTCATTTTTAGATTAGGATTACATTAGGGCCAGATTAAGATTAAATCAGGGTTAGAGTTCAACTTAATATAAGGCACATCCTTAATCTTAGCAAGTTTGACAATTAAGGATAATCCCTAACACTACGTGATATGCTGCTCAGTCCACTTCAGTGACTTCACTCACTACGGTGAAGTGGACTGGGACACAGGCTAAGTCTTTTCACGATATAAACACGCAGGTTTTGACCCCCAGAGGTCAAGATTTGGCTTCAACGTTCCAGTTATATTCATTTCAATGGGTATGAATTAATCTTGTTGAAATTAAATACGAGAATAACCATATCCAATTGTACTTGGTTGTTCGTACTATTTTCATATGCAGTGGGAAGCAGCCTAATTGAGGTTTGACGTACTTTAATTTACTATTATATACCTACTATTCTTTTCATGTACATACAAGTTCTATAATTTTTTATTTGCGACTCTTCAAGACTCAGTCCCAATGATCAATGTTCACCCAACCTAAAATTTGCTGTTGGATGGATTGCTCTTGAATTAAGTTGGAAAAATTGTCTTTGATTGTAACCTGGAAAGCTGAGGAGACTGCAGAGGAAGGAAAACCCCGAGTCATGGCAATCCTGGCTTTAGTGCGACATGACTAATTTACAGTTGTCTGCTATACTATTTAATAATTAATTTCTGCTATGTTTTATAATAACAATTAGTTTTTTATATAATTCATAATTTATTGTAAAATATATATTTGTTCAATTTTGTCTTTAATCAATTTGCACAAGATGTAATGTCAACTTTGCAATTATATAATCTTTGCTCTTCTTCGTTGACGCAGATTAGGTTCTTAAGAACCTTCCATTTTTAATTGCAAATTCGGAGAAGTGTAACCAAGGATTATCGAGTGTATTGTTGTAACATACGATAGGGAATGTATGTTTCACAACTTCACGATATTTATCGTCCATTCATTGATTGCGTTTTTAGGAAGTGATCTATAATATGGAAGAAAAAATTTAGTTTGTTAGCAGACGGCAACCAGGTTAATATCATACACGTTTTCGCTCACCATAGGCGTACAAGACAGGGGGGCAACTGAACATTTTAGAAAACAAAACATTTTAGAAAAACCATGGAAATTCGGGCAAATGCTAGGAAAAATCAAGAAAATTCGGGCAGATTAATTTATCATTTCATTACAATCCTCCATAAAAATTCGGGCAAACGTTCAACTACCCCTCCTCCCGGAAAGCATCAGCCCCATACGCCTATATATGTCGCTCGCAACTCACTTGTGGGTTAATTTAGTGATTAAACGAATTAATGGAATCGAATTGCACTAACGACCCATCCTTTCGACAGTACAGTCTTGCGCCTTTATCAGGCTCCCTATATACGCGAAAAATGACGTCATCGGTGAAGAAGGTGAGATACTCCAACTTTTGTGGCATATAGCTAACGTGACCACACTCTCAAAACTTTAACCAAGAAGAATTCAGCGTTGGCCGATCACGTATGTTAAAGAAATAATATGACTGCGTGGAACGACACGCGGGTCATTACCACAAACAATCGTCATAGGCAGAAATGCTGCGTAGAAGTGTGGCCTTGTGAGTATGAATAAACATAATTACATCAAGCAATTGTATTCATATAAACCACTACCAAAGTAACAAGAAAATCATGTCAGAAATAATGTAATTGCAAACAATGCCAGGATGAAAGTTAACTGGCTTCTAAAGACAGTTGAGAGTACAGCTGTCAGCAATTTAAATTATTCAAACCAGATGTAAGAAATCTCCAAATTTTGAATAGGAGATGGGTTTTTACTTTTTGCCTGTCGGTCCATAAATTTTGTCACTATCTGCATGCAGTGCAGATGAATGTGCGAAATCATCTTTGGGACCTTTTAAATATTTTTGAGGAACTTACCCTGATAAATGTCCAGAATTGTTTCGCATGTAAATTTGAATTGTCCCTAAAGAGGAAAAGAAATGATGTTGACATGAACTACGATTGTTTAAAGCGAATACAATATTCAAATAATCAGGGTATAACTTTCTGTATTACCACCATCCCGGAAAGATGTCACAAGGATTAACTTTTGGACTGAGGGATACTTGGTTTACGATAACGGATTCGGATCAGTTGTGATTCAGAGCTGCAAAAAGTCTTCAACCTTCCTCCAGGCAGGACATCAAGTTTTTAAAACCTTCCTCAAAATAATGCGAATTTTGGCTTTTGCAAATTTGATCACAAAATATATCAATAATTCCATCTTAAAATCAAGTTTTTCCTGAGTATGATTTGTCATATTCGTAATGACTGCTGTTTAGTGTTAACTAGTCTGGTTGATGGCATGGAAAATACCGGAAAACTGGAAAGGCAGAGTTTACTTGTCTATCGGAGACAACTGACGTACTGCTATATTAGCATCGTTTATCAATTGTTAATTAAGAATGCTAAATACCTGTACGACCCTGTACATATTATAGAATATCGATCAGTTTTCACTGTTTACTCCAATGTTCTAGTCACTTGATTGCGATAGTTACCAGCGCAAAAATACTCAATAAATCCCACTTTAAACCTTCCCATTGCAGTAAACCTTTCTCGCACGGGTGGTACCTGCACACCCGCAGCTCTTTTGCAACTTTGGTAGGATTAAAGTCTGGATTAGTATCCGAATTAGATTGAGAATGTACAGTATGTAAATTGAGGTTGTTAATATTGTCCTATAATCTTAAAATCTTACAGGTGTTTGAATCAATGATGGTCTCTGATCACGTAGGGTATCCAACATCTGTTCAGGGTAAACTGCTACACCAGCCTCGATCAAACAACACGCTGTTTCCACAGTAATGAATACACCAGTTCGCCCAACACCAGCACTAACGAAAAGAAAAACATTGTTACAGATGCACTCAGAGGAGTTGTACAATTTGGGGCACCCAGAGTACAAAAATTTAGTAAACGACCAGGACACTTTTGAGATCATTTACAATGTTTCAATATGCACTATGGTCAACATAACATGAATTTGATATGGTAGGGAGCCTCAATTCCTCCGATGGCGGAACGACAGGCGATTGGACGAACATTTCTGTAACAATACCAATGCCGCAATATAGATGACTAGTTGTACGAAGGTGGGATAGTGAGTTTTTGAGCCTTCTGAAACTGGCCGTCGATTGGTAACCCAGACGGAAGTTCAGTATCAATTACAGCATTAATATTTATTGGGGCCTGTGGGGTCCATATCGGTGGTTTCGTGCACATCCTTTCAGGTATTTTTACAAAGATTGAAATGTGGATAGCCTATCCTTCGACGATTTTGTTAAAAAATACCATAATGTTACTATAAATCTAGATAACCGAGGCTACATACCTGCAGTGAATGACAACAGGTGCGGAAGATGCAGAACGGTAGCGGCGAACTTCGTTGACAAAGGTAAGAAATCGCCGAGAATCTTCTGGTACTCCTATTTTGAAAATAAAAAGTGTATGCCTTATACGATATGTATAATATCAATCACTGACAAAAGAACGTACCAGAGTCATAGACCATTTGCAGAATTACTGGAGTCACTCATAACCTCGACTTCGTTCTTTTGAAAACAGACAGACTGAAACTTCAGACATTGCGTAAGATTGAAAAACATTCAAAAGAAATCAAACAATGAAGTCGAGGCTATGCCTGTATAATGTTGCTCTCGAGTAATTCTGTAAATTGTGACTTATGGTGACCATATTGTGTGACCTCATTAATTATTCACAGGCAAATTGACGAGGAAGGAGAACCCACTGATCACCGATTTCTATCTAACAATATGTGTCCTTTTACACCAATAAGTAAATTTCTGGTGGTTATACCAATATGGCCGCCATTGAGTTTATTTATGAATAGCAGATGCGCTATCCAGCGCTAGCCCTAGTTTTCAGATCGGTGGTCCGACAGACTGGTAGCATTCAAAGCAGGTGCTCACAGGCTGGGTGCTGGGTAGGACTAGCCAGCGGTTGTTTGCCTGGCTGGCTGGCTCAATTGATATAAAGCAGTGCATATTACAGGTTCTCCCAAAGGTATTTTTAATATGTATTTGCCAATGTACATGTTCGTAACCAGTATGAGGGTTTCGGTGGCGCAGTCGTTAGAGCAAGCGCCTTTCACCTCTGAGGTCGTGGCTTCGATTCTCGCTACGGACTCATGTGAAAAGAGTCAGTCAGTCAACGCTCTGCCGAAAGTCGTGGGTTTTCTCCGGGTGTTCCGGCTTCCCTCCACAGGGAAAGTTGACAGGGTGGGTTAGGATAAACACAGTAAAGAAAGTTATCACATTTGTTGTAATGATAAAATAGTCTAGGCTCAGTAATTAGGTAAGCGTAATACTTGATATAAAGCGCATTTGATCATATCCACAATTCCACATGTAAATTTGCACTATAGAAATGTTAATCGTAATCGTATGAAATCTTAGGCCCCGTTTACATGAGACCGGAACGAAGTCAAACCGGGACCATCTCGTTTCGGTCATAGTATTATCTATAATAGATGTTTACATGAGACCGGGACGAAAATAACTCAGACCGGTCTCAAGTCATTCCGCCTTCTGGACCAAACCGACTGACTTCAGACCGGCATGAATTCAGACCGGGATGAATGTAAACACAAATACATTTCAGACCGGTCTCGGCTGTAACCTTGACATTGGAACAACACATGCTAACAAAAGCCACCTGAAAAAGAAAATTGCCTGGCAAGGGGAATAAATTGAAGATTTTGTGATCCTCATACCGATCTCATGTAAACATGTTGACAATTTCAATTTTCATTCCGGTTTGACTTCGTCCCGGTCTCACGTAAACGGGGCCTTATTCTACAACATACCATGATCGGGCCATGCTGTGTACTGCAGATGTTGAATCGTTCTCTCTTCGTCCGTCTATGATGAAAGTGAAAAAAGCAAACTCTTTAAATTGGGTCGTGATCAACCTCAAACATACGAATGAACGAACGGCTTCTAGCTCTACTTGAAATGTTCTATACCAGTGTAATTTTTATGCTGACGAGAATAATATCCAACTCGGGGCGTGGAAGAAGAATTCTTAACTATCACAGGAAAAAATTCCAATAGTGGCCATGTGGAACCAATGGAAAGGCTACATCATTTATGGAAAAACTTAACTATACCATTGAAGGAAAAACTGAATTCTCATACCATAATTGGTCATTATAAATTTCTTAAATTTCAAAAACCATGTTTAACCATTTACCATTAATGGCATTAATGGTAAATGGTTATGGTACAGTATTTTAATTTTTCCCTTTGTTCTGCAGTTTGAAAATGAAGATTTCTAGTAAGCTAGAATGTAAATATTCTTAGTACGAATATGAATATCTCTGGTAAGAATATGACTATTTCTGGTAAGAATAGCTCTGGTAAGAATATGAATATTTGTTTCTGGTAGAAAAATTTCTGAATGTATATAATTATGGCTAGGCAGAGTAACGGTTGGTTAACTTCAGAAGTTCATTTTTAACATTTTTTTAGTATGAAAATACATGTTTATTTTATAACAGAAAAACAACGGGGGGTTATTATCATCTGGACCTAGCCTATGAAAATGAACAGAGTTTTCTTTCGTTTAAATTATAACATTCCCGGCCAAAACATTAATTATTCCGAGCTAAAAACGAAGGAAATAAACACTATATCGGCGTTTGGATAACAGACCCAAGACAGAAGAAACATAATATCAAACACTGGAAAGCGTGTTTTATCAGGATACCCAAAATCCAAACACCTAGAGAAATTTAATTTTTTTAAAAGCCTTGGCTTCCCCTCATGCAGTTGTGAAGAAACGTCTTGGTATTTAGTAGATAAAAAAATCCTGATGAAACCCACTTCCAAAAATATATAATCATAAACAGGAATAGAGCATCTGAAAACAACATGAAGAATTTTGAGTTGAAACTCAATTCGTAACCAAAAGAGACTCGAGAATTGTGAAGAGACAAACAATTACCTCAAGATCAGTTACTGTCAGTTCGCGGTGAATATATGCCGGTGAATAATCACGTGATGATATAGGAGAGACCTCAAAGTTACCAATTTCAAAGTGCTCGCCACATTCAGGCCAGTAACGATGACATTTAGTCTAAAACAAACACAATATATCTGCTTCAATATATAGTTTCTGAATTTGAATCGCGCCACAAAGTGTATACATTAGACATAGTGCACTGAAATAAAGTTGCTATATAGTGATTACAAATTAAATAGGAAATATTTACTACATTGTATAGTAAGAATTATGTTTTGAATATATGTAGTTTAAAATTTCTTTGTATTTAATGGTATTAGACTATACATGACACTATAGCTAATCGTGTTCCCAAACATTTAAAACAAATGGGCTTTCAGAAGATTTATAAAGACCAAAGCTATCTACAAGACTCTTCAACTCAGTTGGATAGAGCGCTGCACCGGAATCGCAGGTTCAATTCCTGCTAGGGACCTATTATACACAAAATTTACACTCGATAATTTCCATCTTCAAGACCCATTCCTTTTACAACCCTGTTTTGGAAAGTCCAGGCAACACCTATTAAACGTCTGGCAATCGAAAAGCTCCAATCTCCAAACAAACATTTCACTAGATGCGAACATTTGCCTGATTCGAGCCACTTTTTTTCCCACTCGGATTTCACGAATTTATAGAAGCACTTTAAAAGACCAGGATTAGAATGTACGTACGAGACAAGAGCCTGTGTCTCTAGAGAAAGATAGTACACAAATCTCTGTTGCGAAAATTTATGAAACTTGTGGCAATTCTGGCGGTTAAAATACTATACAACGCATCCTTGTTGGAAATTCTGCACTCAATACCAAATTAGCGTCTCTGTTTGCCGATCAACAACTCTCTCGACACGTTTTCGTTTTTTCAATGGTTTATTTGATATCGACAACTAGACGAAACTAAGTCAATAAATATCGTACCTTTCCGTTTTCCATGGTCGTAGTTAACATCACAACAAGACTCACTTCCTGATCCCAGATCATCTATCAACAAAACGTTTAAACTCACAAAATGGTAAAGTAGGTAAAGTAACGTTGGGGAAAGGGGAAACTAATCCTGTATACACCCTTCGTAAAGTATACGTCACTTTGGCCATAAAGCCTTGATTTCGTGTGTGTGACATGTCGTAATCGAACGTCGTAATCACAAAAACGAGTCTCTATATATTGCCAAGGTGGTGTACTTTCTGGAAAGGTGTATTGCAGCTCAAGCGCTGAATCACAAGAGATGCCGCGGCAAGCGTGATCCTGTCGAAGTCTTACAACGTGCCTTTGGCGACCACCATACGACGCATGTCTGGTCGCACACAGCAGGGTAATCACTCATCATAACTATGTACCTTACCCTCGACCAACGGTGGCAGGCAGAGCTGCCGAGAGGGGGCAGAGCATTTTGCCTCGGGCCCTCAGTTCAAAAGGGGTCCCCAAAGGTCCTTAAAATTGCAACATGTTGGCAGGGTAGCGCGTTAAATAAAGACTCCCATAGGTCCATATTCGCTGGCGGATTTGGTTCATTTTGAGGGGGGTCCAAATCTGCTGGGACACTGGCACTGACGCAACTAGGGTTTATATTCTCATGCAGTCAGTAGCCTGCTCAGCAGCCCCCATGCACAGCAGCAGTTCCGGTTTCCTTTGAACGAAATTTCGGGCTGTGAGCAGGCTAGTAGTTAAGCAATCTTGTTAACCGCATCTTCCACCTTATAACTATTCAAAGTACTATATGCACTATCAATGTCAATATGCTGACTGGCTAACTGGCTTGATATAATAACAACGCGATATTTATAACACGGTTGAAAATGATTTCACAGTATTCAGTCAAATTCGAAATCTTCAGCGCATTTATTTCAACACTTCAAATGTTTGAGGACATGCAATTAATGAACAAGTCACTTACTTGCCAAAAATCACCACATGTATCAGACAATGGGCCTTGTGCTGCAAGGTACTCGTTTACCATTCCAGAATAACCTATATCGGTCTAAAAACAAAACAATGGTTTTATTAAACATTTAATTACATGATAGAATGTTAAATTATAGTATGAATCAAGCAAGCAGAGGGGCTCTACAATTCAAAAGTCGAATAGCGCATAGTGATTTTTCAAAATGCTTCTTGAAAAGCCATATAAAACTACACAAATGGATTTCACAATTAATAAAAAGAAACTATAGTTTATAAATACTAAAGTTTAATCTTGGTTATACCAATCAATGGACAATGTTAGAAAACTCTCTATCCGGTGGATAGCGCTATCCGCTCTTTCGTACAACTGGCATCACATCAAAGCAACGGTTCCATTAATGAAAACAGGTAAAAGTAGTTTGGCTTGAATAAAACAACCATATACCCTCGATCCGTGCTTGATCGGCCCACACCCATCAATGTTGAGACTATGGGCAACCTACAGTATTCTCCCTCTTTTATCTTCGATAAATTTGATAACACTATATTTGAACTTTCTTGTTACCTGAACGTGACTTGCATTGATATAATCATTCTCTCCACTAATTACAACTCTGTTGAAATCATCTGTTAGAATGGAAATAAGAACGTTACAAATAAAGTGCAACATATATTTAGTTCGTTGTAATTTTACATGGTCAATGATAATTGTAATGGATTGGAGTCAACGCGTTTCTTATATTTATTTCCAAACGTATACTTCTAATCATCACCGTGCAGTACATTTCCTACAGATTACACGCAGACTAAGATGCACTCCTTTAGGCTTTTCTACATTTTGACGTTTCACTTACATGGTAAAATATCACGATATCTATTTTTGGTCTTGTTCTCTGGAAAATGAGCTATCTCAGTCGACAATTCAAGTTTCTTCTTCGGCATGTCCTTCACAAAATAAACATGACATTCAACTGGGGGAAGGTGGTTCAACGCATCAATCGTCGTGCACTCGTGTTCCATTGCGAAAAGTACAGTATATATATTATACATGTCTAAATTATAGCTGACAATAACTTACAACATAAAACGCCAGCAAGTCACCGTTTTCTAGACCCTAGATATAAGAGAAAAACCATGGAGATACGTCAGTCAAAATACATGTACACTCAATTCGTACTCAACGGATGAAAAATCAATATAAGTTTCTAAAGGAAAATATCGTTACTAGGTCAGATTTTATCCGGCAATCCGTCTTGACTGAAGATGAAATGCGACATAAGAGTAAAGTGGACTTTGGTTGATGGTAATCAAGTTTTCTTCAATGTTTAAGATAAAAGTGTTCAACGAAAATATATTTACAATATTGAATTGATGTTGACGCAACAATCAACATCTCGTCAATTTTTCTTTTGATCTTTTACCATATTTTGAGGCTAACACCAATTTCAATAAATCTAATACCGCCCTCCCCGAGATACAAATATTTCTGCAACTTAATTCTTCATCAGCAGCCAAATATTATTGCCATTACCTTAGAAAGCGTTGGGAGAGGTATGGCGCCCTAATCCAGCTTGTCACGATGTTGCTAATTAAAGAATCTATAAATGTACAATCTGCATGCAGAATATCAATAATCAATGTACTATATATAGTTAGTATAACATTTACCTGTTTAATCTGCGCCATAGAAGTCAGCAGTTGTGAAGATATACCATGGTTTGGGGAATTCTTCATTTCAGAATTCTTAATTTCATGATTCTCTATGCTCCCTAGCAACAAATGATCAAAATAATGTTTAGGAATAACGGTTTAGGTATGTTAAACTGGGTATTGGGTAATTACATTTAACACTATAAGTCCTTTTTTAACTGCGTTACAATGCGAGAGAAAGTGTGTCACATATTTTCGTTAAAACATTTGGGCAAACTTCTAGCTACATAGAAACATTTAATTTCTTACTATAATTTATAGGGAGCTCAAGCAAACCATGCTTAACCTCTCTATTACCTACAATACAGTGCTATACTCTAGTTTGCTCAATTTACACGTTTGCATGCATGGCTGCATAATTTAGATGCATTGGTGCACTTTTCACTGATTCCTGTTACTCTCGGCCAACGCGCATCATTACTATACCATGCATGTACAGAGATTACCCAACTTAGTGTATGGCAACACAAAAAGGGCGTACAAAAACATGCACACCTCCATGGCCCAAAAAGTACAACAAATAAACGTTGCTGCAGAAGTATAAAAGTATATAAAATCATGCTTTCGAATTGTACACATGCACAAATGTATAACATGTGGGTGAGTTTCACCTGCAGGCACTGTCGTGGCAGCAGATACATGCAGTGTATTGGTCAACTGTCAGTTATCACAGTAAGGAAATAATGTTATATATTCATTACAGCATATCCATATATAGAGTAATGTTTTAGGCAAAAAATAGAACTGAATGATGTAGTTCAATTTGCTTGCTGCGTGTCAACTTCTTCATTAAGGCTCCTTTACACTTGCAATTTTTGCTCCGTTTTCTATAGTGCGATTTTTCTTTCTGATGGATGTGAACGAGTAGATGAGTTATGAATGTTCTCAGTATACTGTGTATGTATCTTCATCTCAACTTTCAAAGCTCATGCATGCACTCGTTCACATCCATTAGAAGAAAAAACGACGTACTAGAAATCGCAGCAAATATTGCAAGTGTAAACGGACCATTAAGGCCCACACAGATCGAACGCGATTCGGCAACGCGACGCGAATTTTCAGTTTTTAAAAACAAATAAAACCGTGAACGGATAAAAATTTTACAATATATGCAGACCAAATAGTTAAAATCGCTTAAGTGATTACGAATATTTGAAAAACATAGAAAAATATTAAAGTTAAATGTCATTGAAAATTGAAAATTCGCGTCGCGTTGCCGAATCGCGTCCGGTCTGTATAGGCCCTTATATGCTTACTAAAATAAGCGATTGTTGATATACCATACTTACCAAATGGCCGGACAGATAAAGTTAAAGTTTTGTTTGTTGCGGATTGACCGATTGATCGAATGAGACAACAGATCTATAAAAAAGCACTGTCTATTAAATTTCTGAATGATATACGAAGTCCTATAACAACACCTATACCAATATAAGAGTGCTAGCTACTATATTACCTGTTCATGACTAAGTTGTTCTGCTTTTCTTCCGTTAATATATACAATTTCGTCGCCTTCCTGCAGCTGTGGGTCACAAATACTTGCCTGGTAAAAACGAAAAAAAACAGGCTAAAGTTTTGAAGGTAAAGTTTTCTCTTTGAAAGCTGGATCATCAAATTCTTTACACTTAGCGATTTTGTAGAATTAGTATAAACAACTTTTTGGTAATACTTTTCGTCAGCTTGGGAATGTTATTATAGTCCTACTAACTCTCCTGACAAAGACCTCTCGAAATGTCAAGAAGGTTTTGTTTTTCTTTCTGTTATAGTTTGAGAGATGGGGTCTTATAACGATAGATCTCCACACTGGTTGAGCATTAGTTTGTGTCAGTTCGACATTCCGAAGTTAATGAGGAATGGGACCCACGGGGCTACATTAAAAGTAACAAAATCAAGAAATAAACTTTACCAATGTAAAAGCAGTAAAATTTGTAGGTACACATGCAGAGTTTGACTACATTTGGATACATTAAGGCACTAAAATAAAATACATTATTTCGCAATTTGTTGTAAGTGAGTTCAGATGTGGTCAAACTTTGTATGCCTATTACTAATTTTGAGCTTTCCTTGTATTGTTACTTTGAATACTCGGTCGCAGTCTCCTCACCGGAATGACTAATTCATTTTGTGCTGAACTGTAGAAGCTGCATGTGATTTAGAATACATTACCGGTGAGTTTGGTGCTATTTGAGTGATAATTGGTTTCAGTTTTTGCTCAGCACCTCCCTGTTAAAAAATAACCAGAAGAAATATATACATAAAATTTTGATGAAGGTCACTGACCGATGATAAAAATTGTATTTTTACCTTAAAATTTAAACCGAATTGTCCGTTTTTGTTGGGTTGAATACTAAAATGATAAATCGCCATAAATAAATATTTACGCTGCATTATACTGTACATACAGAATATTGATCATTTTCTTTGCAATATATATAAAATCAGTTTTACAGCCCTTTCTATCCACATCTTCGAAACATCTAAAGTATCGTAAACCAACAGTTGAATAACTTAATGCACCTTATATCCAGTAGACCTTCGTCATTCAGTATACCATTCATCTGCAGAACAAAAAAATAAACATTACGTTTTTAATATTCTGCAGCATTGCGGGTTTGAATTTGAATTTATTACTGTAAAACTATTCTAACCGGCCACATGAAAATATTAAACTCCCACAAGTGATCTGCTTTAATTGAAGCGTAGAATGCCTATGGCGAACCAATTATTTTAAGACATTATAGTCTATACTAATATGAAAATTTATAATTTAGGAAGCCCTACTAAAACTAAAACGAGATTAAAGCATATTAAAAAAGACTTCAAAATTATTATAAAGTAGCTATATAGCACAGAAAGATAAAAGAGCGCGGGAAATAAAACGATACCACTTTTTTGGCCAATTTAACGCGGTAGTGCGTATATATATATATATATATATATATATATATATATATATATATATATATATATATATATATATATATATATATATATATATATATATATATATATATATATATATATATATATATATATATATATATAATTTAGTAAGTTAATTTCTTAACTTAAAATATAGTCACAACTCTGAGTTATACACGCTCAATGCGATCTTCAGGCGACAATGTTTAAATATCAATAATTAAATTTAAATTGAGATTTAAACATTGTCGCCTGAAGATCGCATTGAGCGTGAAACTCAGAGTTGTGACTATATTTTAAGTTAAGAAATTAAATTATTTGCTCTACGTTATTAAATGGTATTGAGCACTCTTTCTACACTGTAAAATTTGATCATCTTTGGTCTCATTAATATTATATATATATATATATATATATACATATATATATTAGATAAAATGCTACATGCATATATATGTATATATATATATATATATATATATATATATATATATATATATATATATATATATATATATATATATATATATATATATATATATATATATATATATATATATATATATATATATATATATATATATATATATATATATATGATATATATATATATATATATATA